TTCTATTTGTCTGATAAAATATAGAATTTAAGCACTTTTTTCGGCAAGGCAATTAGTTAGAGCTCTTGTATATATATTGGCAGGGAAATATTATATACGTGTAACATATAAATACATAGACACACAGACATGCAGACAGACAGATCTTGTAGATTTGTAAGATTTTTCATTTGGCACTTTTCCAAATTTTTCTCTCCCACTTTAGATTATCAATTTCTAATAACCTGTTTTATTACCCTTGGCAACTGTCAGCCAGATGGCCCATAATTGGCACTGTAAGAGATAACTCTTACGTGAAATCACATAGGATTTTATATCTCAAAGCAGAACGAGAAGGTTAGGCCTCAATATTGTATTATCATTTGCCTAAACCCAGGAAAGGAAAACACCTGTCACTGAACGCAGGTCTGGATGCTGACCACCTGCTGCATCCAATTAACAAGAGCCAGGCCTGGGGGAAATAAAGGGACTTTAATAACCAAAAGGAGTAAGGGGGAAGTGGCCAGATTCCCATAGAAAGCAATCCCTTTTGCAATCTGTCCATCTGTCAAAAATCTAATGTTCAGAGTCTACAAGGACCTTAAACAATTTACAAGAAAAAAACAAGCAAACAGAACTTCGGAGAAAGCACATGATTAGGTTTTACCACAGTCTGATAAATATGGAGGGAGCGTATCTGGTGAGAAAGGGAGGAATGTCTATTTTAAGGCTCAGAGAAAAGGTTTCTGCGGTCTGGTAAATTTTGAAACTAAAAAAAAAAAACAAAAAAAGTTTAAAATGCATTTTGAAGATAAGCTACCTGATTACAAAGTGATATAAGCAAATTTTAGTTAAGACATCCAGGAAAAACATTTTAAACAGAGATGTGACTTAGGATAAAAGAGAACAGCTTTGAATTTGAGAAGAATCTGTCTACTTCCAACTCTGGAGATTCCATGAGGAAAACAGGTAGGTGTTTTTGTTTGTTTTTAAGATGCAAAATAGCTGATCTCCTATACACAAAGGCAAAAATTCCCTGCATATCCCCCACAGAAGTCAAAGCTATCCGTGGAGGGGAGAAGAATGTGTGAAAGGCAAAATCACACAAATATCAAACCGGAATCCAGAACAGGCAGTAAAGCCTGAAAGGGATTTTAATTCTTTTTTTTTTTTTTTTTTTTTAAGAGAGTCTTGCTCTGTCATTCAGGCTGGGGTGCAATGACGGGATCTCTGCTCACCGCAACTTCCGCCTCCTGGGTTCAAGCGACTCTCCTGCCTCAGCCTCCCAAGTAGCTGGGATTACAGGTACACACCACCACACTCAACTAATTTTTATATTTTTTAGTACAGATGGGGTTTTACCATGTTGGCCAGGCTGGTTTCAAACTTCTGACCTAAAATGATCCACCGCCCCCACCTCGGCCTCCCAAAGTCTTGGGATTACAGGTGTGAGCCACTGCACCTGGTGGGGATCTTAATTTTTATATCAGAGCTCTCTGAATCGATTTCTCAAAAGTAGCTGTGACGCTATGTGTCTGTCTTTTTTCAATGTTGAGTTTCCAATTTGTTGTTTAGAAAATGATTTTTATCTGTCTTTTGGCCATTAATGGGTAGAATTTTCCCTGGCGTCCTTTATTTCAATAGATCACAAAGCAGCAAATGTTCAGCAGAGTTTCTAGACCAAGACGAGTCATACTCAGACCTTTTCTTTTCTCCCATTCATCAAAACCTTGCAGATAAGGCAAACAGTGATTTCTACCGTTTGCTCGCCTGCAGTGCACAGAGAGAAGCCAGGACCCTGGCTGGGTAGGAAATTCCTACCCTTTTTCTGGCAGATCAGGTGCCTGGGTTCTCATCATTGTGACTTCTGGAAGACAAGAGCAGCTCTGATCACTATGAAAAAAGCACTGGCCCAAGGTTGATTGATTAAGGGAAAACTCTTTTTTCTTTTCTATGGTGTTACCTGATCTTTTGGCTTTTGAGTGTATATCAGAAATCACTTTGCACTGTGAGGAAATACCCTGTGTGAGTGTAATACTTAGGGAAGAAATATCTTGTTACAGATAGAAAGTGGCAGTTGCTTACAGTGAATAGTTATTTTCAGAGGGTGCTGGCAGGTTTTTGTTTTTTAACTTTTTTTTTTTTTTTTGCAGTTTTTGAGCAGTGAGGAAATGGCCAGGCTCACGCTCTTAAGAGATCATTTTTATCTTAGGCTGGAGAGAGGGGCTCAGAAAGGGAAAGTTGGAATGGGAGGTGTGGGGGGCGGTGCAGGAGGGCGCAGATCTGTGTGTTCTTCCAATGGCTATCTTGAGAAATAGCCCGTCAGGAGCTCCTATTGGCATCATTTTGACTCCACCCTGTTGGTGGTGGATTAATTGTTGGTAACTTCCCCTAAGTAGGAGGATTTTGCAGCTGGGTTTCTCTGCCTGTTTTTTGTTTGTTTGTGTTTGTTTTTCAAACAAACTTCTGGAATTTCTAAACACCGACCCTGTAAGGGTCATTGCCGAGTTTAAAATGGGTAAACTGAGGCCAGTATGAGAAAATTAAATGGCAATTTATTCAGCTTCTGGGCGAGGTTCCATGATCCCGGGGAAAGGGGTCAGAGAAGTCGCGCTGGCTTCCCGATTTTATCCTTATAGCGAGTGAGGAAGAGCAGGGTGCTCTGATTGGCTGCGGGGAGCAGGACGCAGATGGGGCAGGCTCCCATTGGTAGATAGATGAGGCGTGAGTTTTGAATAAAGGCGTGAGTTTCGGGTATGCTTTGGTGCCGGGCTCAAAGCTAGGCATTGAGTGCAAAGGGGTGTGTTCTGGGAGTTAGTAGGGCTACGTGGCCATGCTGGGTGCCGGATGTAGTCAGGGCCTGAGTGAAAGGGTGGGTGTGTCCAGCCTCCCGGCGAGGCAGCCGGCCTTACGCACATCATTAGAAAAGTCAGCACTGTGCACAGGAGAGCCTGGTGAGAAAGGGAGGGGAATGCAGTTTTGAAGTACATTTTAAGGCTACATTCTGAGATTAGATCAGAAAGAAAAGTAATGTTAAAGTGCATTTCAATGCTGGGATACTCGGTCACGACTCCAGTACATTGGGAAGCTGGAGCGGAAGGGTCACTTGAGGCTAGGAGTTTAAGATCAGCCTGGGCGACGTAGTGAGACCTCATCTCTACCAAGAAAGTTAAAAAATTAGCCAGGCCTCGTGGCACATGCCTGTAGTTTCAGCTGCCTGGGTTCCTAAAGTGGGGGGAGCACTTGAGCCCAGAAGTCTGAGGCTTCAGTGAGCCATGATCCTGCTGCTGCACTCCAGCCTGGGCAACAGAGTGAGATCCTGTCTCTAAATAAAAAGGGGGAAAAGAAGGGCCGTGGCCAGTTCTGTGGCCTTGGGGAAATGATTTCCTTTTCTGTTTCTGGTCTGCACGTGGGGCTAGGAGAAACATCAAGAGTACTAGAGGGGGGCACTGAGAAGATGAAAATGTCACCAAAGACCCATTTTAAGAGTGTATTTTGTTTGTTTTTGGTCTCCTTTCTTTGTCCATTTCTTGTTTTGCTTTTAGTAATGTGTGAATCTTTACTTTCCTTTTCTACCAGGAACTCCCCTCCCATGTACTGCGTTTTATTTAATCATGTGATTGCTTAGAAATTCAAGCAAATAAATCTGGAAACCATCCAGGAAGCTACAGAATGACCTCAAGGCTACACCCTGGCTGTACTGGAGATGCCCCCTGCTGGTATGCCAGGCAATAACAGAGTTGGTCATTTGAACAAGTCACGTAGACAGGCACCTCCTCACCACTCTTGTGTGCCCCTCTTACCAAGTTTCCCTTTTGAAAGCCCTTCCCTCAGCTCAAAATCTGAAATGGCTTCTTTAAGGCACTAGCCTGACCTCATCCCCAGATACTGGCTTTTAGAATGAAGTCACTTTCCTTTCACTGTTTGTCGTTCTTGTTCATTTGGCTTTGCAGGCAGTAAGCAGCTGAACTTCCCTTCAGTTACAAATGGAGATAATGCAGACGTGATGATTGCTCACTGCCCTGTATAGAGTGAGTGCTCTTGTTTATTGAGCATCTACTATATGCAATGCATATTCCCCACCCTGCCTCAATTTATTCTCTTAGGAATACTGGGAGGTAAATCCTGTTATTAGCTTTATTCTACAAGCAAGATAACTGAGTCATGAAGCTAAAAACTAAGGAAAGTGAATTCCAGCTGTCTGTCTGTGAAGTATTGAGCACAGGAGTATAGAATTGACACCGAGACAAAAGTATGCCAAATTGCAGGGTCTTTATTGCCAGCGGCCACAGAGGACTCACGTCTCTCCAACCTGTGGCCCCCGGCTCAGGGAGAGAGGGGGTTTTTAAGCTGAAAAACCACATCCTGGTTTTAGGACCGAGAGGGTGAGGGGCGGGGGTGGGGCTGAAGGGATTCAGACATTCTGAGGGCCAGGGGATTCCGTAAATCCCCTCCTGGGCAGAGATGAGGGTGGGGGTCTCCGGATATTCCAAGGGCTAGGGGACTTTTGTCATTCCGATTGTTACTTAAGTGGTTTACAGAAGTCAAGATAAATGTTAGTTTACCCATTGTCTGGGTAGTGATGGAAGTCACAGATCTTAGTTACTTATTACTAAGTAACTAAGTAACTTATTACTATTACTAAGTTGCAGGGGCCAAGATGGCATTAGTTTGGGCTGCTTATTCTGGCAATTGCTGATAAGCAAAGGCCAGCAATTCTGGCAGTCACTGATAAGAAAAGGTAAGCAGCTTTACATAGTGGGCATTTTTCAGAGCAAACCAGCAGTTTTGTTTACAGAAGCAGCTATTGCTAGAAGAATGGGGCAGCCGTTACAACTGACTTTTTGGAAACACAGCTTTGTCTTATAAAATGGCGTTGCTCAGGTTCTGGCTCTAGGCCAGCTATAGCACATCTGATGCCAAATATCCTCTCCAGCTCATGAGAGGGAGGAAGAGCGGGACAGGACGTTGGAGCACTCTCTGTGATGTCAGCATTTCAGGGCAACTTCTGCAAATTCCAAGACATGGGGTCTGTTTCGGGAGCAAGTTAGTTTTTGATGTGGGTTACAGTTGGCCATCAACGGCCCAGCCAGACCCAGGTCCCTGTGGCCATCAGCCACAGGCCCAGTGGGACTTGGGCAACACATCCTGGTGGTATTTGGAGTCCATCTCAGGGCAACAAGGTGAAAGTGAGCAAGAAAATTACATTTTCAGAACACTTGAAAGATTTTGAGAAGTCACTGTCTTTTGGGGAAATGGGATGGTCCAGAAAACAAAACAAGAACCAGAAAGGCCTGGCTACAAGTCCACCTCCGCCTGTTTCTAAGTAAGTCACTTTACCCCCTTTGAACCTTCGATTTCTTTTCTGGGAAACCGGGTTAGCAAATATTTTCATCACAGGGCTGTTGTTGAAACTGATATGATTACGTGTGTAAAAATGTTTAGCAAACCTAAATAGCTCGGGTGCTATTAATTTTTTTTTTCTGCAAAGGTTGGGTTTTAAAAATTTTTTTACAATTTTAAAATTGTGGTAAAATATTTCTAACCTAAAATTGATCATTTTAACCATGTTGAAGTGTACCATTCAGTGGAATTACATTCACATTGTTGTGCAACCACCATCATCCACAGAGCTCTTTTCTTCTTGCAAAATTGAAACTTTGTATCCAGTAAGCAATAACTCCTCATTCTCTCTCCCCAGGCTCTGGCAGCAAAGCTCAGGCTTTGTACTTACTAAACAAGAACTCCTCATTCTCCATCTCTGCCCTTGGCCCCTGGCAACCACCACTCAGCCAAGGACAAAGGGAAGACTTCTCTTCAGGTAAAGTTAATTCTTTTCTCCACAGAATAAGGTCTTCTGGCTCCAATATCACTTCTTTTTGCTCATCTACCGAGTTTCCACTCTGCTAGTACTTTGCAAGGGATAGTGCTGACTTGTCCTTGAGTGAGGTGGCATATTTATCAAATGCCTATCACTAAAGTGCATCTGAGATGACTTTAACTCACTCAGTCAAAGCACTTTCACGAGGGGGCAAAGTCTGAGTTGGCTCAGGAGCTGGAGGTGAAGCTAAGGAAGCTCACCCAGATCCACGAGAATCTTCAGCCAAGCCTGGCTTAGTGACCCCAGAGCAGTGCAGCCACCAGGGGAGGTGTGTCAGACACAGGCGGCGACAAAATGCAGACATTTTATCAGATGGATAAAGGGGGCGAGGTAAAGTTGCTGGAACGGAGTGTTAGGGAGTTTGGCATTTCTGTAGCTGAGCACAGCAGGGGAGGGGTTAATGCAGACGGCAAGTACACCAGGGAGAAGGCAGGAACGCTGCAGCCTGCCATAAGGGAGGAGAGGGGACTGGCGAGCGTGGGGAATGGGAAGACGCAGTTTACTCTGGACTGTAGAATATATCGGGGGAGGAAGAAAGGGGAGGCTTGCAGGAACAAGCAATGAGAAGGCCAGGAGAAGAAGGGGCTGAAAATGGAGAAAGCTGAAGACTTGGAACAGTTGAATACAGGAGAACAGGCAGCGGCTCCCCTACCGACCCACCTCCCGATTTGTTGTCCTTTGAAGAATGAAGTCTTTCCCTGGTGATGGTCCCCCCATCCTGTCCTCGAAGAATGAAGTCTTTCCCTGGTGATGGTCCCCCCATCCTGTCCTTCCAGCATCTACTCTCCATTGCCCTCCTACTGGTTTGTCTGGCAGTGGTTTCTTGATGATGATGGTGGCAGTGCTGGTTGGAGTGTGACAGGTCCCTTCACGTTACTTGAAGGTATGTCCCCTGCTTGAATCCTGAAGGCCAGGTGGGGTTCAAGGCCGTGGTCCCCAGCTGAGAAATGAGTGTACGTGAGAAACCAAACATCCTGAAGAGTATCTGAGAACCAACCAAGAAGAACATTCTCATCACTCGTACATGGTTGGCAAAGAGCCAGAATAGGGGCTTAAAAGCAGTTTAGAGACAGAAGAAAGCGTGGATCTCCAGCGCTTTCTTGCTACTGCCCAGGAGTGCCCTGTATGTAAACCCTAATAAACTCACCTACTTGTCAAGCTGGAGCTGTTCAAGTCATTCGTTGGTCTTGTGGTTCGTTTCCAACTTTGGGGAGGGTGTTACATTTCCATGATTTTGTCCGAACGGTGAAGATGGTGTTGATAACAGCAGAGAGGGAGAGGACATGGCAAGTGGCTGGCCAGGGTACCCAGCATGTCACATGTTGAGAGAGGGAGGAAGGGTCTGGTCAGAGGGCCCAGACTCTTAAACAACCCAATCTCATGCGAACTGAGAACTCTCTCATCACCTAGGAAATGGTGCTGTACCATTCGTGAGATATTTGTCCCCATGATCCCATACCTTTCACGAGGTCCCACCTCCAACATTGGAAGTCACACTTCAACATATGATATGGAGAAACAAACATCCAAGCCTCATCACATGGATGGACAAAATCACCCTGGAACCTCCCCTAAGTCACTCATAAATTAGATCCAGGGCCTACTGAGTTATTTTGTGTGTCACATTCTGCAGAAGACTTGCCTCAGTCCCTCTAACTCTCCATCAGCCAGTGTTTTCCTGAGGCCTTCAATTGATTTTTTGATTTCTTCCTGAAGAAGGTGAGAGAGCCATGGCCACGCACTTGCCTGACGGCATAAACGACGTGTTTCACTTCTTTATCAATTCTCGGATCATTTACTTTCTTTCACAGATTTCACTTGGGCATTGAGGGTTTCAATCTCTGAGTAATGGACTTATTTTATGATAGTAACGCACCCATTCACCCCTGAAACCTTAGAGTTGAAACTTCATCATGCTAGCTGCATTTGACGCAGTTCCACTATAATGCCCGTATCAGCTGAGATTCTTTTGTTTACAAGGAACAGAAACACAGTTTGGCTGACCTATGGAAAGAAAGAGGAGCCAGTGGATGAAAACTAGGGCGGTTTAGAGCTCAGGCCACGGCTTCAGACAGTGCAAGCCTCAAGCCTTGGGGGCTTCCTCGTGGTGTTGAACCTGCCAGTGCACGGAAGTGAAGAATTAGGGTTTGGGAGCCTCCCTCCTAGGTTTTAGAGGATGTATGGAAATGCCTGGATATCCGGGCAGAAGTTGCCTCCAGGGGTGGCGCTCTCACGGAGAACCTCCGCTAGGGCAGCGCAGAAGGAAAATGTGGAGTTGGAGCTCCCACACAGGGTCTCTACAGGGTCACTGCCTAATGAGGCTATGAGAGAGGGCCACTGTCCTCCACATTCCAGAATGGTAGATCCACTGACATCTTGCACCGTGTGCCTGGAAAAGCCACAGACACTAAACGCCAGTCCATGAAAGCAGCTGGGATGGAGGCTGTACCCTGCAAAGATACAGAATCTGAGCTGCCCAAGACTATGCCTCTTGCATCAGTATGACCTGGATGTGAGACATGGAATCAAGCAGATCATTTTGGAGCTTTAAGATTTGACTGACCTGCTGGATTTCAGACTTGCCTGGAACCTAGAGCCCCTTTGCTTTTGGGCAATTTCTCTCATTTGGAATCACTGTATTTACCCAATGGGGTATAGGCTTCATTGTATCTAGGAAGTAACTAACTTACTTTTGATTTTACGGACTTGTAAGTGGAAGGGACTTGCCCTATCTCAGATGAGACTTTGGATAGTGGACTTTTGAGTTAATGCTGAAGTGAGTTAAGATTTTGGGGGACTGTTGGGAAGGCAAGATTATAAATAATTAGAAATAATATGATTTGGCTTTCTGTCTGCACCCAAACTTATCTTGTAGCTCCCATAATTCCTTCCTGTTGTTGGAGGGTCCCTGTGGGAGATAATTGAATCATGGTGGCAGGTCACTCCTACGCAGTTCTTGTGATAGTAAATAAGTCTCACAAGATCTGATAATTTTAAAAACTAGAGTTTCCCTGAACAAGAGATCTTCTCTTGTCTGCTGCCCTGTGAGATGTGCCTTTTACCATTGGCCATGATTTTGAGTTCTCCATAGCTGTGAGGAATTTGTAAGTCCAATAAACCTCTTTCTTTTGTAAATTGTCGAGTCATGGATATGTCTTTATCAGCAGTGTGAAAATGGACTAATACAATAATACACTATGCAAAGGTAAATTTTCATTTTCTCTTTTGAATAAGATTTTCTTGTAATAATAAGATAGAGTAATTTTTTTATTTATTTTATTTTATTTTATTTTGCCTTTTGAGTAAGCTACACCAAAAGTAGAGAGAGAAAGGCAGATTCCATTGACCTCATGCTGTCTTTATGAGATCTTACTGTTTGGGAAAGTGAGACTCTTCCTCTATCAAAGAGTAATGAATTTTGCTGTTTTGAAATATCTGAATTATTGCTTTGGCTAAAAGAGTGACTTATTTTACAATAACTTATTTAGTAATATAGAGTGTTTTAAGCCTTTGATATTTGACAAACTTTCCAAAATCCAAATCCAAATTTGGTCTATTTGACCTCTTTAACGTTTTAGATATTAGGTCCCCTGAAGTCTAGGAAAGACTTAGTTGGCTTATTTGGTACGTTAAAATCATACAGGCAACATTGTCAGATGTTGTGTTGTGGGCATGTCTTGCCAGAAAACGATTCCAGAATACCCCGAGAATGACCACGTGTTCCTTCACAAATGTTTGTTCGGTGCTGTGAGATGTGGAGCCAGGGAGGGCTACTCAGGGCATTCGTTTGAGGTGTTCTACAAAGAGCACCTCAAATGCAGAGAGTGCACAGTTGAGATAAAAGATAAGGGAGCAAAGGGAAAGGAGGCAGCAAAAAGGCCTTTACAGTGACTCCCCCGACAGAGGTGGTGACAAGAAAAGCAGTTGAACAGGCAGGGGAACTGCCCAATGCTGCCATGTTTGCATGGTGCCCGAAACTTAAGCCAGAGCAGCACTTTACTAAAGACCCATGGGAATAGCTCGCTGCCTTCCCACAGGCACCAACCCTTTAGATCAGGATAAGGACCAGGACTGCAGAATCCTAGTAAGAATAATGGCGGCCAAGGTGTCTGGGGACTGGAGGACACATGTAGAACCCACTATGTATTGAAACAGACTGTTCTTGTCCTAGTGGACATGGGAGCCGAGTGCTCCATTACCTGTATGTTAAGATCCATTTGTTGCAAGGGCTTATGACAGTCATAAGTGGTTACGGAGAGGCAGCTGTGATGGCGAGGCAGGTGGGGTTTATATTACTAGTTGAGAGATTGCCACAAAAACCCTATTTGGTATACATAATTCTCATTCCAAAATACATTCTGGGAATGGCTATTTTATCATGTTTGACACTCCAAATGACTTCTAAGGAATTCCAGCTGAGAGTTAGGGTAGTGAAATGCGTGCTCCACCCCACGAAAGCAATTACAAACGTTCATAAGCCTCTGAACGACTGGACCCCCAAATAGCCCACTCCATGAACCCCTATAGAGCCTGGTCAAGAAGGGGGCCCAGTGGACTGGTCCACAAAAGAGAATGGGACCTCTGAGCAAGCTGAGGCTGCAGCGAAGCCAACACAAGCCCCAGGAGAATCAGCGCAGGAACAGCCTTGTGAATCGGACACAGCCAGTTGGCGCTGAGGGACTTGGGTGGGGCCTGTGGCAAAGATGGGGACAGAAACATGTCCCTTTACCATTCTGGTCCCAACCATGGAAGCAGCCAGAGCTGGATGTAACAACTCAGGCTGATATATCACGCCCTCCAGCAAGTGCAGATCATTTCCGAGGGGTCCCCAGTGCCAGTACACACCAGTGCCAAATAACAGGATGGTGGAGAAACACTTTCCAGAAACCAAAATCCAGGAATGTGCAAACACAAACTGTTGCTAAGTGACAAGAATACTTCAACTAAGGAGCACACTGACCAGCAGGCTCGTGAGTACACAGCTTCACTCGGTGCTCAACTCTTGTTACCTATGTGACGACCAAGGGAGTCTTTGACACGGATGGCAGAACCTCCACAAATCCCCTCCTTCATACAGAAGGGGCAGGGCCCTGTTTCTCAGCAGGCTTGGGACACAGATGGCTTGTCGTGAGATAATTCTGCTATCTGGTTCTGTGGGCCTGCTGCTCACCAGCAGCTGTAGGCACCCTGAATGAGCTTGTGCACGTTCTCAGCGCCCCAGCATACACTCTTCTGACACAAGGGCCTGACGCCACCATCAGGAACCAGGTAGACAGTGTTGGGGACAGTACTCCGTTGCCTCCCACCTGGGACTCCAGGTAAGCTGCTGCTGCCCTTGCCACAGGACTTATGCGCCAGGCAGCCAATGACTAAGTACCTTGGAAATAACAAACCAGTTCCCACTGGTTCAGCTTTTCTACCCCAGGAGGAAAGGGCCTAGAAGAGGATTTACAAGTCATTCCCTATTACATCCTACTGTCCCTTGCACGTCTGAAACAGTGGACCTGGTTCCTCCACTATGCAGTAGCACAATCACCCGTCTTAATGGAACATTGATTGCAACGCCTCCATTGTCCTACTATGGTCTCCAGCAACGCATCGCAGGGGGGCACTAATTCATTTGTTATTGCAAGCCAGGCACCTGACCGCTGCCTGGGTGGGGCTCTGTCAAAAGGACATCCCTTCCTATGTCTTGTTGAATAGCCATGGCTCCCTTTCTAGTGCCTGCTAAACATCTCACCTGTTGACCATAGCTGGTACACAGCAAATCTCTTTGCAGACTGGATGCAGACTGTGGCCCAGAACAAAACGGACTGCTGGGTGTGTGGGGAGCAGCTGCCCTTCTCCTCCTCGGCAGGCCCGCCACGGCGCACCCCAGTGGATAAGGTGGGGACTTGGAGACACTTCTATGGTGGGTACAAGGTTTCCCACCCGCCTCCCTTGTGTCATCACAGCACATCCCACAGTGAGTTCTCTGCTCACAAGAAAACCCAGAAACAATTTCCTTGCTTTTTTTTTTTTTTTTTTTGAGACGAAGTCTCACTCTGTGGCCCAGGCTGGAGTGCAGTGGCACAACCTTGGCTCACTGCAACCTCCATCTCCCAGGTTCAGGCAATTCTCCTGCCTCAGCCTCCTGAGTAGCTGGGATTACAGGTGTGTGCCACCATGCCCAGCAAACTTTTATATTTTTAGTAGAGACAAGGTTTCACCACGTTGGTCAGGCTGGTCTTGAACTCCTGACCTCATGATCCACCCGCCTTGGCCTTCCAAAGTGCTGGGATTAGAGGCATGAGCCACCATGCACACTCCCAGAAACGGTTTTCTGTTCAGGTTGTAAACAGGTCAATGTCACATCAGGTACGCTGTACGTGATGGACTGGGCATCTGCTGACTGCAGTACAAATACAGGTAGTCAGCTGTGTAACTGTATTACAATGGCAGCATGCCATTTCTGAGGCCCTTCTTCTGCCTGCGGCAAAGCAGAAAAGTCTGACAGCAATCTGGTGGCCTGACTTCTTAGCTGTGGAAGTGTGGCTGAGCAGTGGTCTTAGTTCCTCCACCCAGGGCTCCTCGGGAGTGGAACGCGGGGCAGTGGTCCCTCCTGGGAGGATGCTGGGGGCTTTCTGAAAGGAGGCAATGCCTGATTTTGTCATTGAAGGATGAGCATGATTTTTCCAAGCGGTGGAAGCAGGTCCTCCTGGTAGAAGACCCTCATAAGCAAATGTCTAGAAGCCACAAGGCATGGCATTCGACAAAAGCAGGCCTGGTGCAGTGGCTCATGCCAAGGTGCGAGGATCACTTGAGGCCAGGAGTTCAAGAGTAGCCCGGTTAATATAGTGAGACCCCATCTCTAATATATATATATTTTCTTAATTAGCTGGGTGGCTGCTCACACCTGTAGAACCAGGTACTCAGGAGGCTGAGGGGGGAGGATGGCTTGAGCCCAGGGCTTTGAAGCTGCAGTGGGCTATGACTGTGGCACTGCACCTCAGCCTTGGCGACAATGAGACCTGTCTCAAAAACAGGCAAAATAGCCCCAACAGCATTACAAGAAAGATACAACAAGCATCCACCCGGCATGTGTGGGAGACTGTGCTAATGCTGACAGCGTGGGCCGGAGTAAGGCAGGCATCTGGGGAGGGTGGGGCCACGGGACGACTGGGAGTAATCTGGAGGGTCCCACAGTCCGTCAGTGGCAGGTCTTTCTTCTGAAGACCACGGCAGACCCCCAACCCTGAGGATGCGAGGCAGGTGGGTTGGGTGAGTCAGATCTGGATGTCTGGTCTGGGGCTGTTCCTGTAAGTGCGGCAGCAAGGAGGGCGGGTCTGCACTGACCGTGGTGGAGGAGGGCAGCGTGTGTGCTCTGCTTGATCACAAGGTGCTGGGAAGTTGTGACTTTCACTTTCAAACTTCTGGGTATATATGGGAGGCTGGAGGACCTGTCTGGTTATTAGACAGAGGCACAGCTGGAGTTGGGATCCATGCAGCTGAACATCTGGATCTTGCTCAGTGTCTGTCAGGGGAAGATTCCTTGGTAAGGTGGGGATGGTTGACCTGCCCCTACTCGTTATTCTCACAACAGCTCTGAAAGAGAAGGATCATTCAGCTTTTGTAGGTGAGCTCAGAGAGGTTAGGTGACTGGTTCGGATCACACAAAAGCAGTGGCAGAGCCTGGATTTGCACCCAGGCTTGAGTCCGACTGCTCCCTTCCTCCTGCTGTGCCCTTAAACTGTAGCGAGAGATGAGGAAGCAGCTCAAACGGATTCACAAAGCTCCCCAGGCTCAGCTCTGGTTTTGACTGCTGAGACAAGGAAGGGTAGCCCCAGAAAAAAGGTTTGTGTTGGGGGTGTCCCCATCTCTTTCGGAAATTTGAAGGAACCACAAAAGGTGCAGGAGAGGAGATGACCCGGAGCTTGGACTGTCCTTGTGGCCTGGCAGCACCCAGGGTGGCTCCAAGGTGCTGCTGCTCAGGCCCAATGAGGGCAAAAGTTTTTTTTTTTTTTGAGATGGAGTCTTGCTTTGCCACACAGGCTGGAGTGCAGTGGCGCCATCTCAGCGCACTGCAAATTCCACCTCCCGGGTTCAAGCAATTCTTTGCCTCAGCCTCCTGAGTATCTGGGATTACAGGTGCCCAACACCATGCCCAGATATGTTTTGTAGTTTTAGTAGATACGAGGTTTCATCATCTTGGCCAGGCTGTTATTCAGATCAATCAAACAAAAGCAGTAGCAGAGCCTGGATTTGCACCCAGGCTTGAGTTATTTTGACTTATTTTGAGTTACGAGGAACCCAGAGGTCATCTCACCCACTCTGAGTCTGAGCATCAACTTGTGCCAGGCTCTGTGGGGAAACTGAGACCCTGTGAGGGGAGTGACTTGCCTAGGGTCCCGTGTCAGGAGGTTGAGCAGGTAGATCATGGGACTCCACGTCTCTGGCCGTCACCTCTGTCCCTCTGTTCAGACCTCTGGGGTGATGGAGAATAAACAGGCTGTGCCGTGTCTCTAATGGGACACATGGCTCAGACAGCGGAGTGAGAGGGTGCATTGCAGAACGGTGCCTGTGACATGATGCCAGCTTTGCACTTATGAAATTCAAAAGCCACACTGTGGAACTCTGAGTATAACATGGGAGTGTGAGCTTAGATCTCTGTTTGTAGAAGCAGAATCAAACCTGGAAACTTTTGGATTATTGAAATCACAGTTTTTTGCTTCAATATCAGAGTCACAAGGCCAGATGCTGGCCTCCCCTCTG